TCTTGAAATACAATATTGTGAGAGACAGAAGATGCATACACGGGAGTCTGGTGAATACCACTATCATTCAGATATTTGCACCAACAACCAGAGCCAAAGAAGAGGAAATAGAAGATTTCTACCAACTTTTGCAGTCAGAGATCGATGGAACATGCAATCAAGATGCATAAATAATAGTAGGTGACTGGAATGCAAAAGTTGGGAACAGAGAAGAAGGATCAGTAGTTGGAAAACATGGACTTGGTGACAGAAATAAAGCTGGACATAGAATGATAGAGCTTGGCACAATCATTGACTTACTCATTGCAAATACACTTTATAAGAAACAGACACAGGCATTGTACTTGCAGAGAGAAAGATACAACTTCCGATTTCATGATAGGATATTGAGAAATATTCACTGCTGACCTTTTACTGGCTGGTGCTTCTGAATGTTGGAATTTCCGGTATTTGACTTTCCAATTCAGAATCTACAAACAATAATTGAGTGGTCTGTTGTGTGCAAGGAAATATGACCAATCCTTCATGAGTGGGAGGGAAGAATTGGAAATATGAGAGATTAATGTCGTCATCAGGAGTCACTCATGTGTATGTCTGAGTCACAAGGCCATGCTGGAGATGTAGATAGAGTTTATATGAGAACGAATAAGGGCACAATCACTTCTGAATGGGAGAGATCACACATGACTCCAGAAGAAAGGGTGTCTGAACTTGGCCTTGAGGAAGGAGAAGGAAGTCATATGGTAGAGGAATGACCTTCTAAACGAAGGAAATAATTGGCATCTATAAAGGCATAAAGGTTTGGTAGTGGAGGATGAGACTGGAACGCATTGGAAGTAGTGACTGGAGTGAGGAGAATTGTAAATGTCACAGAGAATTGTGTGCTCTATAGACAAGGCAGAATCTATGTTGTGGGGAAAGTGAAACCATTGCAGGTTCCTGAGCAGGGGGACATTTGGCTTAAGATGGGCAAATTTGCTAGCAGGGGAGGGGAGGCAGAGGAGAGGAGAGGGGAGGGGAGGGGAGAGAGGAGGGAATAATGAGAAGGAGAGGAGGGGTGAAGAGAGGAGAGGAGGGGTGAAGAAAGGGAGAGAGGAGAGGGAGAGGAGAGGAGAGGAGTGAGGAGGCCATTGCGGAGGGCTAGAGGAGAGGTCCTCAGGGTTCCTGACTGGAGGAATAAAAGGGAAAGATCATGGGTGGGGCAGTATAAATAAATGTCAGGGTTCGGTGGCGTTCTAAGTGGGAATGGTTAGCAGGATGGCAGACTCGATTAGTGAGGACAGAGAAAAGTGGAGGTCTCAAGACACTGTGGCTCCCAATATTCTTTTTCCTTCTCTGTCGAATTCCTCCCCATCCCTCAGGGATCAGCAAAAATGACTCACTCTCTGGGAAGTCTTCCTCAGTCCTCTAGTCAGAATAAAGTCTGACTCCCTCTGTTCTCATCAGCACTTCCATTATGTCTCTCTCTGCACTTATGGTCTCACACTGTGCATCCTGGTCATTTGGGTACCATGCCTAACTTCTGCCAATCCATGGTGCACTTCCTGAAGCTGCATCTTCTCAGGGACTTTTTAACACCACCCAGGCACAGCACAGGTTGGTGGAAGGAATGAATCGTTTCCACTAGCACATAAGATATTTAAAGCAGGCCTTTGGGGGTTTCTGCCATAGAATTCACAATGACCTCATCGTTTTGTAGTCAGTCCACACGTTATTTATGAGACCACTCGTATCACCCACCTTTATGATCTTCAAATGGTTTCTAACACTTAATGGAAGTAAACACCACCCTCTTTAGGATGAAGACTTTTCTTTTTCCTAAATAATGGTTACATCCCCAGAGAATTTCAGCAGTGTTTTATGGAAATACAGAGACTTTCTAAAATTTCTTTGTAGACACAGCTTAGGTGTTTTTTATGTCCAGGATTCCTTACACACAGGGTTGGGGGGGGAGGAATTTTGGTGGTGAGGATGTGAAGAAATTGGAACACTCCTCCATTGCTGATGAGACTGTAAAATGATGCAGGTGCTGTGGAAAATAGTTTGGCAGTTTCTCAAAAAGTTAAACATAGAAGGACCGTATGATCCAGCAATTTGCACTTCTAGGTAAATCCACCAGAAGAAGCTGCTTTCCCCAGTGTTCATTGTAGCACTGTTTCTCACCGTAGCCAAAGGGTAGAAACAACCTGAATGTCCATCAACAGAGGAATGTTGCTGTTAGGTGCCATCGAGTCAACTACACCTCAAAGCAACCCTGTGGCCAATAGAGCAAAAAGAAAATGTGTGACATGGGTGCAATGGAATACTATTCAGTCATAAAGAACACTGAAGCTCTGAACTTTGAAAATATGCTGAATTAAATAAGTCACTCACAAAAGATCATATATGATGCACACCCATGTTTTATTGCTGCATTTTTCACAATAACAAAGAGTTGAAAACAACCCAAGTTCCCAACAAAAACCAAATGGGTAGAGAAGCTCTAGTATATTCACACAATGGAATACTATACAGCACTGAAAAACAAGGAACTCATGAAATATTATACAAAATGGGTGACCCTGGAGGGCATTATGCTAAGTGAAAAAGCTCAGTCACAAAAGGACAAATATTGCATAGGACCACTGTTGTTAAACAGGACTCACGTTGGGGTTGAGGGAAAACTGAGAAAGAAAGAAAGATAAATAATGTATACTGCATTGAAACAGATGAGGGACAGACCTGTTTAAAAGGGATACATGATTAG